CATCTCAGTTGCCAATGAATAATCGAGCTCCGCTCATAGGGTAGACAACGGGAAAAGAAATGTCATCGGCTCATTCATTCCGTTTGAACGAATATTGTATTGTCATAAAGAATTCATTTTATTAAATTAAAGAATCTAAATTAAAAGTACTTTTTCGAAGTACTTTAAAAATACCCTGTATAATGGATGAGTCTTCCAGAGGAAGTTGCACTGTTATCTATGGTTCTCTAACCCTTGCTTAATAATCAACCGGAAACAACCATTGCATTTTGCTCTTTATCCATTGACTCCCTTCCCCCCCTCCCATAGAACTATTCGATTCAGTGCCGAAACTAACAAGAATTTTGTGGTACTGAGTGGGTATAACCTCCTTATCTACTTACAAGCGCCAGTATCTCCTTAACCCCACCTTCAGTCTTCCTTTGGTCAGTCGTATGTTATGGAATATATGTCACCCAGCTTTCATGAACCGTCGACCACCCGGTATCATATATGGTACCATTACCTGATGAGCACGCTGTAGTTGCTTAATGATTTTATGTATAATTTTTAATGTCTTGTTCCATTTGCATTGCTTACACTAATTATCGACGTTCTATGACCCTTAATCACGAACATCCAAAACATGGGTTACGCAAATATGTTGTGCATTTGAGAATAAGCGACTATAAAGGTTCACGGAGAAGGTCTGCAGTGAAACCCAGCATCCATAATAATCATTTCATGCAATTGGATACGAACAGAATATTTAGGAAATAGTCGAATTGGAAAAGACAACATGAAGATTTCGCAAGTGTCGATGACAGCAGAATAAGGAATCAGTTTGGCTAACTGGAGGAAAGCTATACAATTAATTCATGTTCATCTGTGTTGCATCATAATCATAATTCATAATTTTCCCAGCAGATCCGGAGGCAAGTCTGATTCGTTTCTACGTACTTAGTGTAGCATAAATTCTAGGTGTTTGCGAGCACGTACCTCGAAATATCGCCACGATACCTATACGGTTCTACCTGGATAACTGTGCCAATTATGAACTTTCCCACTGGTTGTCGGCTACCTTGAGATACAAAATTGTTGTGGAACGTATTTTGTAATCATAGTGAGTGTGCACTTCCTGGTTCATTAATTTCATTAATCGACCAGTAGGCAGGGATCACAGAGATTGCACCTCGTACAAGACTTCATCGACTCTTTTCTTGTCCGTCCTCATCTGCTACAATGGTCCGTCTAAGTCATAGGTTTTTTTTCGTGTCTTGCGATCCAACGGATGCCATTCGACGATATCAGCTGTCCTTCGATGGTCAGCGAACCGATCTATGTGTCCAAATCATCGCGTTTTCATTTTTCGTCTGTGCACGATGATGTCCTTCCTTATGATTAGCTGTCTGATGCCTGCATTTGGATATAGTCGCGGAACGAACTCCCTACATGATTTTTTCTATGGCTGGTTCAGCAAAAGATACGTGACCTTCGTCCTCTTTCGTCAGCCGCCATGTTTCCCAGCTATACTGCATCACCGGCATTAGAACTGTGATGAAAAAGTTGATCATGCTTTGGCTGCGTGAGATATCACTGATAATGATAAACGTTCCTGTTTCTCTCCCATACCAGACATCAGCCGTCTAATCGCATCGCATGTCAATTTCCCCTCCCTCATAAATGTAAACTTTACTGTTTCTGTGTTTTCTCCATTAACCGTTATTTTGGTCTTCTGCACCGTATTCGATCCATTGATTTTTAAACTCAGTTT